TGCCCCAAGAGATGAGGAACCAGTGATAATTCAGATGGGTACCTCTGAAAAGATTTGCCAATTTCCTGTCCCATTCTGGCCAGATGTTTTTGAAAACCCTTGGGAAAGACTGAAATTCCCCACCAATCTGAGACTGCATGAGAGTCTTTACAACATTAATTGGAGGAAAAAGAATCTCAACATGGCACACAGAAGGCCTCCACAGATGAAATCATCAACCAGATGCATACTGTGAGACTTTACAGTAGGCCCCAAGCCAGGGCATTGCTCGACCTACTGTGGAGAAGAATGGGCACCAAGTTTCAATAATACTCTTTAATCCTATGGCATTTTAGTGCTTTGAAAGCCTGATAAGTGTTTGTAATTTGGTTGTGATGCTTGTAGTCTGGAAGCAAAGTCTGAACTCTTTCCAGTGGAGTAAAAATGGCTTCTGTTGTCCTGCAAACACTGAGGCCAGGCCACAAATTGCAAACTCTGGGTTAGTGATGTATTTGCGGAGAAGGGAGGATAAATCCTCACACAGACCAAACATAAGTGCCAGTGTGGTTGTTTCAAAATCCATTGCTCTTCAAATGAAGTATTGCATCTCTGGTTTTGATGCCATAGAGCTGTTGTCGAAAAAGGACCTTCTGAATGAGAAATGTGACCACTGTGTTGTTGAAAGCTTCACAGCAGCCTCATAGGTAATGTTTCATTTGACCAACATTTGTAAAGTGAAGTGATGATATATCTTGTTTTGAAGATGTCAGGATTGTAAGCCTCTTTTCATGAGCTTCCGAATCCATCATGTTGCTTAAATATTTTTTTCTTCATGGAAGTATTTAACCTGTAACACCATCTATACCTAGTATTTGAGGGATGATATGTTGTTGTTGTTAAGTGTTGTCGAGTTGCCTGAAACTCATAGCAACCCTATGTACAACAGCCCAAAACCCTGCTCTGTCCTGTGCCAATCTGTCTCTGACACCCTCACCCCAATTACCCCAGTCACTGGATCAATCCAACTCATAGAGGGCCTTCCCCTCCTGTGCTCTCCCTCCACCCTCTCAAGCATGATGTCCATCTCAAAGGACCGGCCTCTCCTTGCAACATGTCCAAATATGTCAGATGAAGCCTCAGAATGCTTTCCTCCAAGAAGCAGCCTAGTTTAACCCTCTCCAGGA